TTTCGGAATAATTTCAATTCCTTTAAATTGACAACTTTTTTCTTGAAATAGAAGCATCCAAATTAAAAATGGCGTAAGAAATTTTTTTTCTGTTTAGATCTATACGATTTATCATATAGTCCAACCAAATTACACTTGGAGAAAAAAAAATTGTTACCTGGATTTTTATAATTAGAAATGGTAAAAGGGCTTATAATAAACCTAAAAAAAATAAATGCGTGAGCAGAGGCGGCGGAGGGTTGATTGTGGGGGTTGAAAAGTTATAAAAAAATTGTATCATTGGGATTTCTAGCGAAAGTTGACGTCAAACCAAAAAGTATCCAATACAAAAGTTGTAGATCATGCAAAAATCTACAACTTTTGTAGAGGTTACTTTTTAACATAACCTCAAAATTTCCGAGAAAAATGCGAAAAACAGTTTTTTTTCTGATTTTTCGTTTTTTATTTCTCATTTCCGCAAAAATAATTTAATTTTGACGAAACTTGGTGAAAGTATACCTTTCTCTGTCTTAAATAACCTCAAATTTTTTTAGATAAAAAAATCAAGAAGTTTCTGAGATATTCATTTTTTTCGGCCTGAAACACTTTTTTTTCAAAGAAAAATTCTACTTAAAAAAATCATCGTACAGAGTTCTGCCGGTAATCATTTTTTTCGTTTTGACATATACTTTTTGGTGAAATAAAAAAATCTGTAATAACATTTCAAAAACATGCTCAAAAATGCAAAAAAATAAAAAATGACTTGCAACAATGAATTTTTCAGTTATTGTTGATAATTTGTTTAAATTAAAAAACATTCAAAAACTGATTACACCATTCAATTCTACGGAAAAAAATAAAAAAAAAACTGTCTCATTGTTTGACCCAAAACTTTATTTTTGTACAGTATTGCTATAAACATCTAAATCGAATTACAAATGCACAAATGATAAAGTATCTCTGGATGATTTGAGATTTCAGCAATACAAAGTATTAACTGCAAAGTCTACTGTTGACGCGAAATACGAAAACCGAAATTTTGCAAAATCGTTTTATTTTTTTTCTGGCTTTATTTGAAAACGAATTTTAAATAAATTGCATATTTACATTGCCACTTTTTTTGCTCTATCCAATGGCGTCAACATTTTTGCAGTCCGACGTTTCGTCTTCGAGGGGCCATCATCAGATTAATTTATTTAAATATATCGCTGCTATTTTTATGACAAAATATCCTCTAATTCAGAATTAAAAATGACTAGATTTTGTCATAAAATAGCAGCGACGTATTTAAAAAAAATTACAAAAATGTTGACGCCATTGTATAGAGCGAAAAAAGTGGCATTGTAAATATGTAATTGATTTTAAAATTCGTTTTCAGATAAAGTCAGAAAAAATTAAACAATTTTGCATTTGTTTTTAGCAATACTGTACATAAATAGTTTTGGGTCAAACAATGAGACATTTTTTTTTAATTTTTCCGTACAATTGAATGGTGTAATCAGTTTTAGATTTTTTTAATTTAAACAGATTATCAACAATTACTGAAAAATTCATTGATGCAAGTCATTTTTTACTTTTTTGCATTTTTGAGCATGTTTTTGAACTGTGATTACAAATTTTTTTATTTCACCAAAAAGTATATGTCAAAACGAAAAAAATGATTACCGGCAGAACTCTGTACGATGATTTTTTTAAGTAGAATTTTTCTTTGAAAAAAAAGTGTTTCAGGCCGAAAAAAATGAATATCTCAGAAACTTCTTGATTTTTTTATCTAAAAAAATTTGAGGTTATTTAAGACAAAGAAAGGTATAGGTACTTTCACCAAGTTTCCTCAAAATTAAATTATTTTTGCGGAAATGAGAAATAAAAAACGAAAAATCACAAAAAAACTGTTTTCTACATTTTTCTCGGAAATTTTCAGATTACAACGTTTGTATTAGATACTTTTTTGTTTGACGTCAACTTTCGCCAGAAATTCCAATGATACAATTTTTCATAACTTTTCAACCCCCCAAATCAACCCTCCGCCGCCCCTGCTCACGCATTTATTTTTTTTTCGTTTATTATAAATCCCTTTACCATTTCCACTTATGAAAGACCAGGTAACAATTTTCTTTTTTTTTCCCTCTAAACGAGTTATTTTGATCGGTCTAATAAGCTTTTTTAAGATATTAATATTCCGACCTCTCCCTATTCCAGCAGTATAACAGTAATCATTAAGCGACTTCAAAATCTATTTTAATATTCACTGAATGGACGAGCCATAATTGAGGAAGTGGTTTTAAAGAAAATAAAGAAAGTGTCTGCCATCCATTAAAAACGCCACGTATTTTATGTCGACATTGTCGACGAGCTGACGGAGAATGATAATTCTCCCTGATTTTCAACATATCAGTCGATTAGATAATGTTGCTACAATGGAAAAATTTAATATTTCTTGGAATCGGGAAATATGTTTTCCGTATCAGATCTTTTGGGAAAATTAATAATTATAACGTGTAAATATGTATAGAAATGCTTGCATGCTCCCAACTTATTGTTAGTGGACTTTCTGTATCAAAGAAGCTTTCCTTGAGATACGACCCATTCGTTTTTGGATGCCCTTAATATAAATGCTTAACTGTCATCGAAGTTGATGTTGAATTACATATACATAATTGATTCTCACGTCATATTTTTCGATGATAGAAGAATTTCTCTTTATAAATGTTTCAGTAATAACGATAAATTAAAAGGCTATGGGAGTGTCACGTTCCAGTACCTATCAAGTCCCAAGTTTTTAAATTATGTATTAGGTACTATTAGTATATCCTACAATGAATAGGAGTTGTTTTGTCTGGCATACCTGTATGTATTTTTTTTTCTCTTTAGTGTGAAACTAAAGTCATTAACAGAAAACATACATCCAAAAGAGATTGTAGAATTTCATAAAAATTCATTATTGTAACGAAGAAATTGAGCAAATCTTTGTAAACTCAAAGAACGAACGAACGAAGAAGAAGTATTTTAGTAAAATGTAGAAAATATTTCTTTCGATTTCGATGTGGTTTTCTAAATACAGTGGATGAAATGAATGTAGATATGTACTTCATTGTAGTACGTTGAAATGTGGGTTAATCAATTAATTCTTAAAAACATACAATAAAGCAATATCTTCAATAAATTTAACGTAGAGGAAAATCACCAATTTAATCATCTGATCAGTGCACATACTCCAATTGCGGATTAAATATTTGGCGACGGCTACGAAAATTCCCGTCTACATCGTAAATTTTCTAAGTGCGATTAACAGTAGGAGTTTAAAATGGAGATAAAAGGTGAAATTTTCATTCTAATATTCGTGTAACTGCGCATTTGTATAATTAGATGTAGTAGAGAACGCAATTTACACTGGATACTACTTAGCAAAAAGTAATTAGACTGTAAAGTTCAAACGCCGATTCTCGGTAATTACATTATTTGTTTTTACGTTCCAAAATGACACTGGATGCCGTGTAGTACAGGCTAAGTGTATTGTTCAACATTTTCTGCTTGACTTTGCAGGTATTGCTGTTGGCTGCGGTTTCCAGACAAGGTTAAACTGCAATCGTCGTTAATTAAATATATAACCAGAAGTACGGTATTCATTGCGATGAGTAAATGATTTTTTGAAACATATGCATTTTCTTTTCGTAGCTCTTATGTTTTATTTTAATAAGAATATTTGTTCCCTAAATTTCTATCATGTATGTACATTGTACACGCTTTGATACCAGATGTCTATTCCAAAATTTTATAAGAAAACTTTATACTTTTTAGCTTGCGTAGATAAATTTTATAAATAACTTGAATTCTATTTAGGCGCCACAAAATCCAAGTTTAATCCTTAAATAAATTTGAGAAAAAATTGTGATGCCAGTATGTTATTTAGGATATAAAAAACTAATCTTTTATTAATACATTAATCATGTATTTATTTTATTTATCACCGGCAATATTTGACTAATACTATGTTATCTTTAAGTGTAGTATCCGTAAAATATATTTTTATCTCCTATTAATACATAATAGTTCTATAATAATAAAATAATAGGTAGGGTACGAGGGTATATCACAAAGTAACAGCAAATTTAATATTTTGCGAAATATGTATAATTCTGTTAAAAAACATAAATGAATTATCATTTTCCTATGTGTTGCACTATTCTAATACTGTTTGACCAAATTTAATGCATCAATCATGACTGGAATATACAGGCTGTCTACTATAAAAGGGCCACTCCTATGGATCTTGCTTAATATACGACGCACGTCAAAAATCTTTGTATGTTTTTTTTGTTGTATTTTTTGAGGCCTTTATGCCCGTAAAAACAAATTAAAGATCCATGGCCAACTTTGTAAGTACTTAATCATAAAAAAACCGGGAAGTACCGAATCTAGACTCATTTGGTGTTGTTCACTGCCATGACGAAATAGTTGCTAACATTGGGTGCAAAAAACCTCCAGGTAGAGGTAAACCGAGAAATGTTTAGTCTGAGTTCTACCAGGAGGGAGAGGAGATCCCAGCCTACGTTGTGTGAATAGGAAGGTCCGGAGGAGAAGAACCTTTTTGTTCACTAATAATTTTCAGTTGAAAACTAAAATAGATCTCATAATTACCTATAATTTTCCTGTTTACTCAAAAAAACTGGACAAAAAGCGGACGACACGCCATTTACAACAACAACTATTCACCTCTTTTTATGTAGTACGCAAATTGGGGACGGTTCCAGAGGTTCCCAATAAGTTCTTAACAATTTTGATTAAGATTAATTTTAAGCACCGTTTGTCGGTTTCAACGATTTTAATTATTGAAAATGCCTTAAATCACTTAACCTACCCATTAAAAAATCATCTCCATCTGAAACAGTTTTGTAATATGCATAGCGAAGATAGCTATATGGCGCTCTGTGTGGCATTAGCATTAGCGATCGCTCCTGTAATGCTTTCTAAAAACAATCGTGAAATCAATATTTTCTTTTCGTTTGTTTTAGATAGTCGTAATGGCTTTCGGCAAGAACAGCATATCTAGGAGTAGGAACAGCTGGGGCCCCGTATCGGTGCCCTCTGGTCTGTACCGGCTGGCCCCCGAAGAGGAACTGGCGGAGGAATGTACGGAGAGGATGATGACGGCCCAGATGCGGCAGTTGGATCCGCTCAAGGAAGACCTGGCAGACTGGCTGAACAAGACGCTGGGTGAGTTGTCTTTTTAATAAAACATTGTGCCATTAAAGGCTTCGGAAAATAATGATTTTCTTAATTCTTACCATATAGGGAGAAATTTAATCAGCCCTCTGAAATGAATAAAAAATCAATCGGTTGTTTTAAAATAAAGCTGAGAATAAAATTGTGAACGATTTGTAGATTCTGCTTACATTTTTCTTGAAGTAGATTATTGTAGTTTGAATTATAACAGTGAGAAAACAATAGGCAGAACTGGTAGAAACTTGATTTTCTTCTTCTGGCACTGTGTTTTGTGTACTTCTTTTGGTAAGAATTTAAACTAGTTCTGGTCGAATATTTTGGATACGTGCAAGGACAAAGGAATTTTGTTATTTATTTGCATCCCATAGATTTGTGTCATCCCTTTCCATATTTTAGTAAAAATATTTTTACCTGTAAATATACCTGTATTAGGAAACACAATTCATTTACATAAACTAATGCAAAAAATTAAATAGTCAAAAGAATTTCCGAAATTTTTCCGTGATTTTTGACAAACTGTATTTAGGTGAAAAATGGTCGTATCGGGAATTAAAAAAAAGTATTTTGAAGCTCTAAGATTCTAGTTTTTAGATATTTCGGTCGAAATTTTTTAGGAGCTCCGGTTATCATGCAATTTTAAGAAATATCGTGACAAAAAAAATTGGACTTGGAATTTTATTTTTTTTTTTCAGCTAAGCATGAACCAGATAGCTTGTTTATTCGGCTTCAATTTCCTTTTATTTTTAATTTCGATAGGACCATTTATCATCGAAATATCGGACTTTTAATGGAAAAAGATCCTTTTGTCTTCAATCATCGATATCTCGGCGTATAGAGAATTGAAGGGCAGTTTAGAAAACTGGAATAAATTTCCTATAACTTTTCGGAAAAAAACTTTTCATCTTTTACGCGAATTTAAAAAAAAACTGAAAAAAAGGTAGTTTGTGTTTTTTTTAGAAAATTGACGGCTGAATTAGAAGTATTCACGAAATGACTAATGTTAAGCATAATTTTTACAATTCGATATACCCAGAAGAACCCTGTTACGTTTTATCTCGACCTAGCGAACCGTTTCTTTGTTTCAAACAGTGAAACTTTCCAAAAAAATTAAAGGGTCACGTTTTTTGAGCTTAAACACTTCATAATCGTGATTAAAATGAAAAAAAATTGAAATTTGTTTTCAGAGAAGAAAAAAATTTTTTTGAAAAGAACTGTTTTTAAGATATTACAGACTACACTAAAATTAATTAGAAACTGTATGAATTGGGGTCGAAATCTGGTTTGGGTCATCAACTTTAATTTTAATTTAATTAAAAGTTGATGAACAGAAGCATAGGACGGAAAAGCCGAATCGTGCTGGAAACAATTGGATTTTGTTTTCTTCAATTTCCGGAAGGTTTTCAAAAAAAAATAAAAAAAATCTTCGAAAATTTTTTGGAATTTTTTTTTTTCATCAATTAACGTTATTTGCGGTAAAAATGTGAGAAAACCTCGAGAATTTTTTTATTACATTTTAATCATGATTATGAAGAGACCCTTTAATTTTTTTCAAAAGTTTGACTGTTTGAAACAAAAAAACGGTTCTCTAGATCGAGATGAAACTTCACAGGGTTCTTCTGAGTATTTCGAACTGCAAAAGTCATGCTTAACATTATTCATTTCGTGAATATTTCTAATTTAGTCGTCAATTTTCTAAAAAACCATAAATTACCCTTTTTTTCCTGTTTTTTTAAATTCGTGTAAAAGATGAAACAAAAACTTTCCGAAAAGTTGCGGCAGCATGTTATAGAAAATTTATTCCATTAAAAGTCCGATATTTCGATGAAAAATGGTCGTATGGAAATTTAAAAAAAAGGAAATTGATGCTGAATAAACAGCTATCTGGCTTAGCTGAAAAAAAATTTTTCAATTACGCAGAATAACTGTAGCTCCTAAAAAAAATTCGACCGAAAGATCTAAAAACTAGAATTTTAGAGCTTCAAAATGCTTCTTTTTAATTTCCGATACGACCATTTTTCACCTAAATATAGTCTGTCAAAAATCACGGAAAAATTTCGGAAATTCTTTTGACCCTTTAATTTTTTGCATTAGTTTAATTATTGTAACTATACTTTCGAAAAAATATCAGCTTGGTGAAAATAGATTCCGCTGTGGATTATTTTCATAAATATTATCGGTAGTCAGAGATATGTTTATTTGTAGCTTCGAGAAAACATATTTCAGGAGGTTATCATGTAATATGAACTCTGAATTACATGACGGCCTTATCAAAATGATTAAGCTTGTTGACGTTGTTTCACTTACTGTTTTTATTTAACTGGCTATTTCTGTCAACGTGAAAAGAAAAATTTTCAAGTAAATAATCCCTTTCGACAAAAGGGTCAATCAAGGTTAGTCAAAACTAAATTTATATAAAAAAAAACCCTTTTGACGTAAGGAGTTATCTGTAAATTTATTTTCTTTTCAATGTGACAGAAATATCCCTTTAAATAAATTAAATCAAGTTGCAGTGCTAACCAAAATAGAATCAATGGCATTAAATTGCAAATTTGTGACGTATGGGTAAAATTTGAAAGTCCGGTGTAATCAAAACACATTATAAACACATTTAAATTCAAAGATAAACCAACACATTAAATTAACGATAGAAATAAAAAAATTAAAAGACTCTTATGGACAATGGTCTTTCCGAATCTTTAAAAGAAGACTATGTGTGATGTAAATAATTTTTTTGACATTTCAAACCCTTTGGTACGCTACTGATTAGTTTTGGTTCAAATTTTACTTGTAGGTAGCTTCTATGAGAAATCTGCACTGTATCAATTTTAATCTCATCCTCAATAGTTTTTCAGCAATTGTTCATCCACGAAACATCATCTAAATTGCAAGTGAGAAACTAAGGCACTGAAATAATTAATTTTTAGAGCTGTAGAGGAAAATATAGTACTGATTTAAGAATGACTTTTCACAATTTTACTTGCAAGTTGCAACTGAGATCTTATATTACGTATTCACTGGCGCCGTAGTCTGTTCGAAAAATATTCGCGTTGAGATCGCGAGCGGTTCGTGTAACATTAACATCTTTATACTTATTCACATCGAGCACGTCAAATTTTTTTTTTGGGCTATCTTGTCTGCAAAAATAAACTATTGCGTTTAGTGTTGTTTGTCAGTTCAGTTGGTTTTCTGCGTTTATCAATGAATAAACATGTCGTCTGCGAATGTCGTAATATAATGAATGTAATGTCGTCTATATTATTCAAGACATTATTTAAACTTCAGCGAAGTTGTCCACGGAACTGGCAAAGGCCCCTTTTTGAAAACAGTCTAGAGGATGCAATCAGATTTTTATTTGGGATGTGGAAAAATACCAGCCGTTCTTAAGAGAACTACTGAACCGCCGAGACTAACTAACTACTATTGTTGTCTAATTCAATCGCGCTGGCTTGTGAACTAATTTTTTTTACGATGGACACGTTGAACATCCACAGTACACACCCCGGTGACCCGTCGGTAGTTAAGATGTAACCGTCGTTGTAACACCTAACAGTTATTTTGTTTATTAGCATTGGGAACGAGCTGCTTTGCATCATGCAGATAACAATCGTTAAAAATGCACTCGCGTGCTTTTGCATACCAAACGACTCCTTGTACACCTAGCCGTAACACATGTTACCAGGGCGAACGTGAGTTTGTCGCGTTTTACGCGAGGCGCTCTTACAAGATAACGGTCCACAATTTTGGAATAGATAAATAAGTAAGCGGTTTTGAGAAGGTAAACTTAGGACCGATACTTTTAGTTCTGTTGGTTAACAAATCAGGCGATTAGGTTAGTACATATAGGTACGTATTTGCTAAAATATGACCATAAGAACAAGTTTTCGAACAAAATTGCATTCACAGCCCAGTAAATGAAAAAAAAATTGTAAAAAAATTCGTTTCAGATTGAAACTTGGTTTAATCCTTAGTTTAGGCAAAAAGAAATAATATTTCCCAAAAAGTATCGGTTTAAAACAACAAGATCATTTCATTCAAAATATTTATTTGTTTACGAGTTTTTGCATTTATTTATTAGAAATAGCATTTTTTCAATTGCAAAAACGCGGTTATTAGCGTTATAATAAAGGGCTCATTTGTCTCGTCTTGACTTATATTTTCGAGATATGCAATTAGAAATTGTAATTTCATAGGCTAACCTCCTCAAAACGGCGTATAAACAAAGTGTAATTTGTTTATAATGTTTTTCGTTAATAACTTTGCGAAGAATGAATATTTTTTAAAGCCGCTTTGATATTCGTAATCCTGGTAATTTTCACGAATTTAAAAAAAAATGTTCTAGGACCATTTTTAGCCGAGATAGCGTTTTTTTATAAATTCATAACTTGTTTATTTATAAACATTAAAACTTCAGGAATAAATCAATCAACGCTTAAACTTCATAATAACGGTTAAAGATATCGAAAAAAATGCATTATATGGTAATTTTTAACCCTTTAAAAAACGTCCTAGAATACATTTTTACATCTGGAATGTGGTGGGGGAAATAAGACAGAAACGTTCAAAAGTGGACATCGAAACAAATCTTAACTGCCCGAAAATTTTGCGATATCTCCGGTAATTGTAGACCAATCTTAACGAATTTGAATTTTTTTATGTCTTTAAGTACTTGAAGCATATAAATATAGTCGGAGCTGATGGATTACTTGTTTTTTTTTTAATATTTTCTCAATATTTGCTACACCATCATTTGCTTTATTTAACCTATTTCTAAAGGTAAGTAAAGTTCTGCATATGTGAAAAATAGGCCGAATCTATCCAATTTTTAAAAGAAATTCACGAAAGTGGAATTGAAAACTATTGTCCCATTCTCTCTCTTCTATCATTTGAAGTCTTTTATATGTCTTAAACTGACAGTAGAGTATTGTAGTTTCCTATCGATAGGTATCAACGCTACTACTGGAGTCCTTAAAGGATCAGTCCGCAGCCCTTCG